GGGGAGGGGAGGGGAAAAGAGGGGGCAAGCCTCGCTTTGGGCCGGCCGGCCTCGCCCGCCGATTGGTCGCGGTGCCTCAGCCCGGGGGCCAATAAGGCAGAAGGGAGGTGGAGGGGGGAGGGAGCTGCCGCGGGGACGTGACGCGGGCGGTGACGGCGCGCGCGCGCGCGCGCGGGCTGGTTGGGTGGGGGGAGGGGAACCCTTCGAGGTGTTTCGGCCGGTCCCCTCAGCAGCCGCCGCCATTTTGGGTGGCTTTTTTTTTTTTTTTTTTCCGGGCCGGGAGGGGGGGCGGCCGGGCCCGCCTGATGCTCGCCGTTTTCTCAGGCGAAGCGAAAGACGACAGCGACCTATCCTTCCCCCCACTCGACTTTGCGTTCGCTCCCCTCGGGGGACCGGAGGCATCGCATCGCCTCGCCCCGCGCCACTTTAATGCCAGCTTAAAAAAAAAACAAACCCCAAAATAAAGGTTGTTTTTCTTTATTTTTTAAATAAAACTGTTCCACTTGTGGCCGCAGGAATGGGGTGCCCGGCTCCCCGAGCTACCTGAGGGGAGAGGAGAGGGGCGGCGGCCCGGCAGCGCACCGGTGCTCAGCACTGTCATGCCTATGAAGTTTTCACAAAAGTACTTGGCAAAGACTCAGCAAAAGGAGCCACTGCAGCTGTCGCGTTTGGCACGGTCCAGATTTTACTCCAAACCACTTTTCTTTACTAGACTTTGGCCCTAAGCACAGCTGATTCTGGAAAGAAAATGGAAGTAAGGCACAGGATACAGCAGCAGGTATTTTGGCAGCCTCTTTGGAGACGATGAGTAAACTCTCCTCAAGAATTAACATCTATACACAGACGTGTCTGCAGGATTCCACCGTATTGGGCAATGTGCTCATTTATGCTGCACAGCAGCTGTGGACCAAGTTCGCAAGCAAGGCTTGGTGAGAATATTTCTGATAGGGATGGTCAGCATTGGGAGCAACATTATTTTTCAGTAAGATCAGATTTTGTGGATCTTTCTAGTTTCTTAGCATCATGAAAAGAGGCCATATTGGCTTATTTGGGCCCAAAATACATTGCTGTCATCTTTTGGACTCTGCAATCTCAGAATTTTTTACAGGCCAACGTCCTACCAGTTTGATGATGGCACTCAGCTTTAGTGGCAGTGGATTTTGGCCAGTAATAACTGCTGTAACTCATTGTCAGGTGATGTAGGTGGACACTGTTACCAAACTAATTACGAGCTTTCACCACATAGGCTTCTCATGTTTGAGTATAGTCATCAGTGTTACCTATGTTTGTAAACTCCCTTCTGGGACTTAAAGCTTCCTTCCAGGGTGCTTTATAACAAGCAACGTTACCTATGTGTTATGCAAACTGTGGTGAGCTGCAAAAAGTCATTCCTGAATTTGCATTGACATACCAGCAAAGGGAATGATGCCATGAAAATTGCATGCATGTGCTTTATTTGAATATAGACCGAGACATTTTGTTTACACCAAATACTGTGGCTATCAGAGTATGTCCCTGTCTTCATTCAAGTAAATCCTAACTATAAAAAATTATTTATCAGGAACTCACATCTGATAAGCTATTGCCTCTTGACTGTGACTCTTCAGAAATACAAAAGATATCTCCCAATTCCATAGCTTTTCTGTCATGCAGGTGATCAGACTGCAGGTTTCTGGAAAGGTAGAAAGATCAACAATTGCCAGGAAAACAAAGTGGTTTATTTACAAAATATCCAGTGTTTTTTCTTCTCAGAGCTCACTTGGTAATGCCTGTGACATTTGGGACAGCTTTAACTTGTGAGGAAAATAGGCTCAGAGTAATACCCGTTCCTTCCAGTCTTCCAGAATATTAGAAAAAAAAGCTGCTATCCAAACTGTTTAAGCTAACCTGGATAATTTTTATTGAAATGTGGTAAAGAGTATTGAGAGAAATAGATAGATACACTTTCAGAGCAGAGAGAATGGTAAATTTTTTCCTACTTCTATAACTCGATCCAGAAGGTAGTACCTCTGCACATAACTAGAAGCACTCACCGGAATGTATACTTCCCTGATCCTGCATGTAGTTTGTACTCATTGTTAATGATTGGAAAACTAAGTCAGGGGTTGTGAGGATTCCTCTCTGTTAAGTCCTGCATGTTGGTAGAGCTCATTTCATCAGCAGCCTTATGATTTTCCATGATACTTGTTGAGAAAAGTCAAATCTAAGATGGGAGATGGCAGTCTCCCAAGTGTGTAAACTAAGTTGCTCAGAGACTTATGACTATCAGAAAAGAGAACTTGATTTAGTTCTTTGTGAAAACACAAAGATGGTGATCTTTCGGACTACAAGCTACTGTGTGTTTTATCTCCGGGAGATTTCTCAGGGGATGAGGCTTCTTTCTTGATAGAAAGGGTTCTCGTCAAGACTGAAAGTGACAGAAGTCTGAGTCACCACAGCCACATCTGTTGCGTAAATGTAGTGGCAATGTCACAGCAATATGAGTAGGGTAAATTAGTCAGGGTTAATTAGTCCTGATGGTATTCCATATAGGCATAGCTACTTGCCTACCAATATGTAAGACATTTTGTTCAAAGCTGGTGTAGGTACAGCAAACCTTTCACATTGCAGTCTGGATATACAAAAAAGACATTTTCTTGACATGGCTATTTACATTTTAAAAAATAATGCAGTTTGTCCATTTGACAATGGTTTAGAAGCCTACATAGAGAAACAGAAAAAAAGAGCATCTCTTTAGCCAGTGCTCTTATTTATTTTGGTTGGTATCACAGCACAGCTGCCTTAAGAAAACAGGATATTATAAAAGTACAACCATCCCAACACCATACACATTTCAAAATTAATGTATTTCAAATTGATGCTGTCATTTCAGAAGGAAGCCTTTAGTAAAGAAACAAGAAAAATATTAAAATATGTAAAAAGTAGAAATGTGTGAAGTCTGGGAGACACGAAATTCTATCATTTAATTTTAAATCAGTTGAATAGAATTGACAGGTAGTTTCTCATTGCTTTTAGCTTCTGCACTTACTGTTTAAGGAGATGATCAGCAGGTAAAATATTTTGCGTTAGCAAATTGGAAATATCTTATGTTTGCTATGGCTTTTGTCACGTTGAGTTTATTTTATAACCCTGTATTTACGTCTGAATGGTTTGAATTAACTGAAGTAAAAATCCCTACTTTTGATTTAATTTTCAGGCATATTTTAACACTGCTTCCTTTTGTGATTAAAGATTGTGTTGTATGTTTCACAGGGACGTGCAAAATCCTTCGTAGTTTTTATTCTCTGTCATCTTAGAAATTGCCTTAGCTGAACATACCTATTGTCATCATGTAGTTGATATGATGGAAATAGTATTATACTGGCAACCATGCTCTAATTGTTTTTGCTGAACCACAGCTTTTTACATAATAAGGGTATGAAATCCAGAAAGAGATACCTAAAAATAACAAAAGTTTAACTAATAACTATTACAAAAGATGTGAAAATTCAGGACACAGCACTATGAATCTGTTATTCCGACTGGCTCATCTAGTTGTACATTTAAAGTTCAGCTCCTTCTGAGGAAATTATGCACTGATTGGAGGAAATATGAGAATTTTAACAAGTAAAATTGCCTTGCAATTTTATCTGAAAATATAAAGTATTGAAAAGTTACTATTACATAATGGCATAAGTCATTGGTCTCAAAATTAAATATATTTTACAGATCTATCAATAATGTGCTGGTTAGTTGTAGTGTCACTTCCTTTGAGGAATAATTTTAGTGTTCCTGAGAAACATTTTTGCAGAATGAATTCCAAAATTTTGTGGGCCCCAAAAGGTTTCTTTGTGAATCAGTCTCTTAAAGCACAACTGAGGCTCTGTCTCAGCAGAATGTAGTTATTAATAATGAAATTGGACTCTAGTACATTGGTACTAGCGTGTTACATTCCTGACCATGTCTTGAGATTATAACTAGTCAAGCTATGAAGGTAAAAAATACACAGTGTCTAAGACCCACCCCAGAAGTTTATGAAAGGAAAGAAAAACCGTTTTGCTCCATCACTGCTCATTTCATAGCTACCTTTCCCATGTCTTTGCTAACCCAAA